AGAACGAGGGCCAGGCGTTTCTGGATGGTGCCTGTTCAGATGAGTTTTCGGCGGCTGTGGAGGCCTTCCCTCATGAAGATGTCTTCCTGTTTGCGGCGCTCATGGCCCACGAGCTCGGGCACAACCTGGGTATCCAGCACGACCACCCGAGCTGCAGCTGTGGTCCTAAGCACTTGTGCCTCATGCATGAGAAGATCAGTAAGGACAGTGGCTTCAGCAACTGCAGCTCTGACCACTTCCTCCATTTCCTCCACGAGCACAGAGGGGCCTGCCTGCTTGACCAGCCTTGGCACCAGAGCCGCAAGCGCAGAGATGCCCGCTGTGGAAATGGCGTGGTGGAGGATCCGGAGGCGTGTGACTGCGGTATTGCCTGTGACAAAAGCACGTGTTGTGATGAAAATTGTAAACTAAAGGAGGGTGCAGAGTGCAGTGATGAACTTTGCTGTTTGCGATGCAAATTTAAAAAGAAAGGAGATGTTTGCCGTCCTGCTGACGGACCATGTGACCTGGAAGAGTACTGCAATGGGACCTCTGCAACTTGTCCCGGGGACAGGAGAGTTCAAGATTGGTCTGTATGCCATGAATCATTCTTTTGCTTCGAGGGTCAGTGCATGGACCCTAGCATTCAGTGCTCACGTATTTTTGGACATGGTGCAAGGTCTGCCCCAGATTATTGCTACACCTACATGAACTCAAGAGGGGACCGGTTTGGAAACTGTGGCTTCTCCTCTAATGTTCCAAGAAAGTATACTAAGTGTTCAGGTCAAAATACACTGTGTGGGAAACTTATATGTACAGAAGTAGTCTTCCTGCCGCAAATCAAAGACAAACACGTGCTGATCCAGATCCCTCAAACCGAGGACTGGTGCTGGAGTACAGATGTTATTGGGGAGACAGATGGTATTGATGTGGGGCAGGTGAGGAACAACACTTACTGTGGCAAAGATAAAGTTTGTGAGAATTCCATTTGTAAAGACTTCACCACAGTCCAACAACTCTGTAATCCAGGGAAACAATGCAATGAGCACGGGGTGTGCAATGATCTGGGGAACTGCCACTGTTCATTTGGCTTTGCACCTCCTGACTGCAAAGAAGAAGGCACTGGAGGCAGTGTGGACAGCGGCCCCACTGTTGTTCTGACGGATGAGGATGTGCAGAACTCTACCCAGTCCAGTAGAGCTGAGCTGATACTCAACTTAAAGTTGATCGTTCTGGCTGTCATCCTGGTGTTTGTGATTCTCTTGATCATCATATGCATCGTGACTGCCTACAGCAAGTCAGAACCTGTTTCTGAAGCAGAGCCTTCAGAGTTAAAGGAGGTTCCAGAAGGGGAGGAGGAAGAAGAGATGGTCCTATCAGAAGAGGCTGAGAAAGAAGGAGAGGAGTGGGAGTTGGAGGAGAAAGGGGAAGAGGCAGAAGAGGAAGAAGCACTAGAAGAAGAGGCAGAAGCAGAAGAGGAAAGGAAAGATGAAGAAGAAGAAGAAGAGGGAGAGGAATAAGGGGGGACACATAAAGCCAATAAATAGCTGAGCCTCTCGCAGCCCTGAGAATGAGGCTCTGGGAAGCAGAGGCTGTGGGAACCGAGAGCTGCCACACTCTGACTGGGCGAGGGAGGAAGGAGCCGTCAGTCACTATCATGCAGTGGACAGCTGCTTACATAGTAGTTCAGTACTTTAGTCTACACCTTTCATTGGAACTTGTCCTATAGCTTTGGATATTCTTGTTTTCGTATCTTTGGGCTGATTTTTTGGTCACTAGAAACTGTTTTTCAGGATATGCTTTCTCCCACATAGATTTTCTTTTTCTTTTCTTTTTTCTTTTTTTCTTTTTTATTGGTATGCAATATACTATGTTCCCGAATTTCTCAGTATTCCCAGGACTTTCGTTTCAAGTAGCAATTACCTATTATGTAAGGACATTTTCCCATGACCTTCACTGTTCTAACTTGCCCAAAAATATATATTCAAGGCTGAGTCTTTAAATAAAACTACTACTGTTAGACATGTCTTCAGGTCCATGTGTGTATGTGTTGAGTTCATTTTGTTATGGGCAGGGCCATACTCATTACGGAGGAACGCCCTGACTACATAAAGAAGCCAGCATCACAGACTTGAGCCATACGCAGGGTCAAAGAGTGCTTGCTATACAATCATGAGGACTGGAGTTCAGATCCCCACACTCACCTGGGAAAACAGCTATCTTATACATGCTCATAACACAACCGGGCAAAAGCAGAAGGATCACTGAGGCTTGGTGCCTTCTAGCCTGGAAAATCCAGGCTCTCAGTTCAGGGAATGCCCCTGCTTCAAAGGAATAGGCAAGGAATATGAGAGGAAGATGTGAAACACCTCTTTTATGCTGCATGCATGTGCACACGCACCCCACATCTATACATATATGAGCACCACACAACAAACAAACAAACAAACAAACAAACAAACTTGGTATAGAAGAGAAGAAGCAGCCAGTACTAAGACAGCCTGGGTGGTGGTGTGTGCCATATTGCCAGCTTTCAGAAGGCTGAGGCGAGGAGACTGCAAGCTTAAGGCCAGCCTGGGCTACCTAGTAAGACTTAGTCTAAAAACAAAATAAAGCAAAACAAAGTGGTTTTGTGCTATAACTGTTTCTAAAAAGTACAACCTTTCTCATGAATCATCTTGTCCACACGTTTATGGCATTATGAGGAAAATGTCCAGTAGTCTACATGTCGGTATCCCCATAGTATGCAGCCACATACTCCCCAATAGTCTAGTGATGGCTTGCCATCCTCTCCCTGCCTTCGTTGGGCTGCCTCAAGCCAGCCAAGACCTTAGCATTTTCCTTAGTTTCCTAAAGCTAATTCCAGATTCTGTATTTGTCTCCAGACTTGGGAGACACAAAGGGAAACGGCAGTGTGGAATATATGCTGCAGAGTGCGCTGCTCTCAAGTGCACGGCTCCTGCTCCTCCCTGGGGACCAGGGTCAGATAAGGCTTTCCCTGGAGCTCAACTCAAGAAAAACTAAATAGCAAGATATTCCCAAATTGGCCCAGTTCTGTAATTGATGAAGTCAAAGTGTTACTTCTATTTTTTATATAGTATCTCATATTTGCAGCCTGGGGACAGGCTTCCAACTATGTAGCCCAGGCTGGCCTCAATCCCACAGTAATCTTCCTGCCTCAGGCTCTGGAATCCTGAGATTACACTTGCAAACTGCCACACACAACTCAAAGTGTTACATTTATTTGAAAAAGAAAATGGTTGCTTGTTTCTCTAAATTTCTTCTGAAACAGAATTTTGCCATTATGATTTAGTGGGAAATCACCCAGTCACGTGGTTTTTCAAAGGGGAGAAAGAAACAACTTATCTTCCAGCAATAGAAAAGAAAACTGGTTAAACAAAACTGTAAAAGAACTTTTCACCCTGCTTTGAAACTCAGCTTTCAAATTTTTCTGTGTCTTATTAATTGTGCCTTCCTGGCGTGTGTGTGTGTGTGTGTGTCTGTCTGTCTGTCTGTCAGTCTGTCTGCACACGCCCTGCATCACCTAGTGTGCCACCACAGAAAGCTTCACTGTTGCACAGAAGGAAGCACTCCAATGCTCCAGACTTGACCCTCCCACTCCACGTGGTAGGTTCTGGGTCTGTGAAGCTTGAGGATATAATAAATCGTAATTATTGACATTTCAAAGTCTTACTCATTTTTGTTTAATCAGAGCCACAGGTAAAAGTTGTCTTTATATATGTAAAAATATTTTTTATGTTACTTCATATCATACAAAAGCAAATCTCAAACACTTTCCTAGAATGGCAAGGACAAGATTTACACACTTGACTCATATGATACCTGAGCTTCTTAATGTGGATGAGGTAATAGCCATACTTGAGTTTGCTATCATGTTTATCACTGTAAGAAAAAAAAAAGAAAAAAGAAAAAAAAAGAACTTAAGTGTCACAAAAGTCAGGATGAGGGTCCTGGGAGGAGAACGGAGTTTAAGGATGCTAGAGCAAGCCCACCTGGAGAAGCATGGCCTATTATAGAGCATCCGATCAGTGATGAGCACACTCTACTAACCCTGGGCTCAGTGGACATTTGTTACAACCCTGGCTCCTGCCCTCGGTGCTCCACCAATTCTGGATGCTCCTCCCTTTAACAAATGATGTCTTCCTTTCTCTTGCTCACCATGTCCTGTCTTCATGTCTGTATTGACTTTAGATCTCTAAACTCTTGTTCTGGAGCCTATTTCTGTACTTTCTAACCCCATTCCATGTTCATATAAATATGTATGGGTACCAACTATATTCAGGGCCATCTTTTATAAATAAGCCAATTATTTTTTTCTAAAGTAGGAAACTCACTAAGTCCTAGATTCCTGATTCCTATTCTTTATTACTAGTGTTCCATGGGATATTAGTGTCTCCATAGTTACTTAAACTATATTCTTATACATAGATATGACTCTTGCTTTGGCTTTAGCTATTACAGACTGGATGCCAATGATACGCACAAGTCAAAGCACAGGGATTTCTTCTGGTTCAGCTCTATGTATCTACTGGGACCGTCCCCACCTCTGGCAGAATTCCTGACCCCTAAGACAATGACTGATGGATGTGTGCTCAGGAACCTCAGTTTAGGTCACTTCTGTTCACTACATAAGCCTGTTTCTCTGACCCAAATTCTGGAAACCCTCTAATCTCATCAGTGTGTCTGCAATAGAAACCTTAGGAAGCTGTTTAGATGCTGGGCTGACAGTTGATGCTGTGGAGAAAGCAAGAGAGCTGCCTTGGGCCTGGTAAGATTCAGGGAGTAACACTGTTGGGAACGCTAAGGACCCTGGGGCTGGCTAAGCTGTGGTGACTACTGCTCCTGTCCATCTGGGAATTTTGGCTGTGACTATGGGACCTCTGTGGTTTCCACAGCAACTGTGACTCTGCACAGGACACATGATCCTGCCACCATAGCCATGATGACCACTGAGGAAGCTTTGCTCAGCCATAAATACTTGAGATGGAAGCCTACTTCTGCTTTTTAGTTCTACAAAACAAAAACAAAAACAAAACCTATACAATAACTGTTCTATTAAACAAGTTGAAAAGCACTAAACCACTAAGGATGAGGTGTGTGACAAGATCTGGCTTTGGGCAGTCTCAGGCCCCCAAGCAACCTTACTGCAATGGCTGTAGCACACACCTGCAAGTTGCTGCATGCCTTCCTACTTTTCTTGCCTTCATGGAGCGGAGAACTTGCAAATGACACACATACATATGAACCTGAAATTTATTTTTTCTTCAAGAGATATAAATAAATCTAGTACTTGTCAAAGTAATGAGTCTCTTAGAAGGCAAGTGGCTACATTTCCCTGAACGAGCAGTTGGAGAGCTCCTCCTGACTTCACCCAGAATTGCTACTGACACGGTCCTACACTTCCTTTCAGCTCTTCAGTCTGGGGTATGGCCAGAGGAGAGTCCACTCATGTGAAACAGTCACTCCCTGGATGTTCCAGTTCCAGAGCCTCAAAGAATGGTGGAAGAGCTGGAAGCAAAGGCAAGAGGAGACTCCGGTGGGTTTGGGCTTCTGCTGTAAACTCTCTTCTGTGAGCACAGCAGTGGGGTCTGAGTGTCTGCGTCACGGCGAGGCTCACACTTTATCTGCTGGAACTTGCACTGTGTCCAGCCATAAATGCCGCAGTTGAGCAGCCCCTGGGACGCTGCTGTGAGAGCCTAGAGGAGATGGAGAGTGGGGGAGCCCAGCCTTCAGTCCTGTTAAATCTTTATTTATAAAGCATGGTCACACATCGTGTGTGTGTGTGTGTGTGTGTGTGTGTGTGTGTGTGTGCGCGCGCGCGCGCGCGTGGGGGGGGTGGGGAGTCCCTCCTATGTGCGATGTTCTCACTTGAGCTACTGAACTATACCCAAGCTCACACAGACCCTCTTGACATTACACCTTGCTGTAGACAGCACACGGCTAGTTAGACTGCTTAGTGGATACATGATGGCAATACAGTAGCTTCAATTATGGATCCATTTCTCAGAGACCACCGTTCCAAATCAGCACAGTACAAAGGTTTTCCTCTGATAATGGAGGACAGAGGACAAGCATCCTCACTGTCCGCCACTCACTGGAACAGTTTGAGCCATTTGATTTGCTCTGGATGGGGAGTATTAGCATTGCTTGTGCCTCACTGTGCACAACCTGTGAGAGCTTATTCAACATATCCAAACAAAGCTGCCCAGTGCTCCACACCACACCCAGAAGTACTTGCACCTTTGTGAAGATCTTTATGTTTCTTACAAGCAAGCATAGAAAAATCACATGTTCTCTTTGCAATGCACAAAGACACACAGTGAAGGAAAACTGTGTTCTAAGATGGTAGGACAGGAGAACAGGGCACAGAGGTTCAGACAAGAGATGGTGGCTTTGGAAGGCATTACCTGGAGCACAGAGAAGGCCATGTGCAGGGAGGTCTCCTGAGGCTCGGTCAGCTTCATGATCAGCAATGTGACAGCTGCAAACACAGTGTGTGAGATGCTGTCAGCTCTCAGTGCACGTGCCTGAGCACTTCCTGGACAGAAGCTACAGCATGCTGAAGATCACTGCTAAGGTTAACCGACTGTACAAGCCTCTGAGCCTTTGGCCTTCGATTTTTAGTCCTTACTGATTAAAACTTGCAGATTAATGCCCAGTGTAGTGGTGCACGTCTTTAATCTCAGGACTTGAGACAGAGGCAGAGATCTCTGTGAATTTGTGGATCTCTGTGAATCTGAGGCCAGCCTAGTCTATATAATGAGACCTTGTCCCAAACAACAAAACCAAACCAAAATAAAAAATAGGTAAATAAATAAAATTTACAAGCTGGAAAGGAATATGCAGTTAGGATTTTGATGAGATTGTTTTGTCTGACCAACCCCACAGTCATCTTCTTCATCGCCAACTCTTCTGACTAAGATACTAACCTGGGCCCCAGCAGCACACAAAGGCCACTGGGAAGAAGCACACTCGCTGACCCACAGTGTGAATCACTGCCCACTGCTCACTCTCCAGAAGGCCCATCGACTTCACAAACTTCTTATATAACATCTGGGCACGGATGAGTAAGACCTAAACATGAGCGTAATCATGAAGAGTTGGCCTGTGGCTTAGTAAACGTTTTAGAAAGCTCACTCTAAAGGAGCCATGTCAGGAAAAGCCATCTTCCTACCCTCACCCTGAAAGCAAGCTCTGGGGAATTGCCCAGACCCAGAGTTTCACTTAGAGAAACAGATAGGAACCAGACTTTTGGTTTTCATGTTCAATAAGTGAATATCATCGACCCCAGCTTTCCCCAGGCCTCAGACAAATCACAGTCTATACAGAAGGCGTGTTGTTTTCTTGTGGAGGTGGGACTGGTACACGGTTGGTACACACTCTACTAATGAGCTACTGTCCCACCCAGGGAGCTAAGGGTAAGTTCTAACTAGTCCATCTCTTGAAATGTCTGATTAGAGATTCTCCTCGCTCGTTTTATGCTTAATGAGGTCCATTAGTGCGAAGGCTGAGCTTAAGTTCTCAACTCTGAGCAAAGAGAAGTTTTAGGAAACCTCTCTCATCCTTACAGGGAATGCAGGCTGTTTCTCCCCATTCCCCAGGGATCTGCTAAGGATGAGCCAGCTGAAGAACCAGGCAACGTTTCAGAAACACAACATTCTTATTTTCTGGGACACAAACAGACAATAATCTTGGTAAAAAATCTTACCAAATCTGAATAGTTGTACTGACAACTCAGGTCCAAGGTTTAACACCCCAAAGGCTTTAATGAACATTCAGGATTTCAACTCTAGTTTTTGTTTTTTGTTTGTTTTTATCCTCAGAGGATCAGGCATGGTTTTGCCCTCCTGGTCCAAGTGCTGGTATTGCAGGGGTTTCCTACAAGATCTAGCTGGCTATTGTGTTAAGTCGGGCTCACTGTTTAGGCTTCCCCAACTCCCACCCCTCAGGACCCCCCACCTCAGGCTATCCTCCTGCTTTACCTCTGAGTTTGGACTGTATCACAACCAGCTCTAGGGCATTTTTAACTCGAGATAGTTGATTGTTTTAGACGTAAGCCTAGAACTGTCAGAGTGCCTAGTCTGAGCAGACTCAACTCTCTTCCCAGCCAGTTCCAAATATAACCCAGCATTCACTTTATCCTAAATTGTAAAGTAAATGACTGAGTCAAGCTCCTGACATAGTTTTGCACTGTCCCCATGTCAGGGGCCATCATAGGAAAAGCTAAGAACTAGCAGGTGATCTTCCTGAGATGGCTCTACCTTGGATTAAAATCTATGATGGTTCTGGTAGGCATGGCCCAGGAAAAATCTATTTTAGGAAAGATTCCTACTATTAATATGTTTTTCCTATTATTATTAAATATATAATTATCACTAGGCATTAGCCCACCCTTTTGAACAGACCTCTATGGGCCTATATAGACAGATAGATAATAATTCTATAGAATTCCTAATTTGATTCAAATAATTTTAGGAAGAAAGTTTTTAGAGACAGTCTTAGTTGCTAGAAAGATTGAATAAAGTTAGAATCAGGAAGAGAATGTGCCCACTCCTCAGAATAGTAAGTAAAGTCTACATAATAAGAAACACAATGAGCTTCCATAATCACACTAATAAGAGAAATAGACTTGGGACAGTTTTGTGTTCAAAGAAAAACATTTAGGGCCAAGGATCAAGTCACAGGTGTGCACCCTGATAAGGCAGGGCCATGTAAAACCTGTTGCTTTGAACTTTTACTGAGCATGTTATGATGAAACACTGCTTTGAACTTAATATCAACACCCTTCTGTAACTCCCATTTTATGTAACATTTTATCTCTGAGGTAATTTTCTAAAGAATTTTTTGTCTAAGAAGGCATAAAAAGACCAGAGAAAAGAGAGTTGTTGGTTGTTGGTTGAATGGTTTAGCTTGGGGAGCTTTACCCTAGTCACCTATCCATCCATCCATCCATCCATCCATCCATCCACCCACCCATCCATCCATCCATCCATCCATCCACCCATCCATCATCCATCCATCCATCCATCCATCCATCCATCCATCATCCATCCATCCATCATCCATCCATCCATCATCCATCCATCCATCCACCCACTCATCCATCCACTCATCCATCCATCCATCCATCCATCCAAACATGTATGTCTGTTTGTCTATATGTCTGTGTGTAGAGTATATGTGTGTAAGCATGCATATACTTGTGGAGTTGATTGTGACAGACGGTCTGGCCCTGGCCAGAGTGTGGGTGTTTGTTTGGATGTATATGTGTCTGAGCATATTTGCCTGTATACAGCATCTTAATTCTTTTCCTTTCCTTCCTCTCTGGTTCACAAAGAGTTAACCAGTTTATCCAGAGAGGCTTCTGGCTGACTCAGAAGAAGGAGCTCCAGCAACAAATCCTTTCACTTCTCCCCTGCTGTTTTAGGATGAGGTGCTCAACAGTTCCTCACTCCAGAGGAATTCAGACAGGCCTTTAGTGACTGCAGCTAAGTGACTTAGACTTAAGACAGGAAAATGTTTTATTATACAGCAACCCTAAATATCTATAAGACCAACTCTTCCCCCCACTCTTCCCCCTCCACTGCCTCAAAAAGAACCAAACAAGAAAGAACAACAGCCGGGGCTCCTCCTCCCCACAATCAGATCTTGTTCAAGCTCACTAACAGAGAGGCTGCAGAATGAGTCTGAGCTGTCGGTTGACAGTGTGCACACCCTACACTAGGGCTAAAGTCCTTGCTTTAATTCTGTAACATTCAGTGGTACTGACTGAGTAAATGATGATGAGGACTGAGCCAGTTCACCCCAGTTAAACTAACACACATGCACATGTGGCTGAAAGGGAAGGACAAGGGTGATTTCAGGCCAGGTGTGGTGGTATATGCCTTCTATACCAGTACTTGGGGACAGAGGCAGGTAGATCTTTGTGAGTTCGAGGTCAGCCTGGTATATACAGTGAGTTCCAGGACAGGTGGACTAAAACATACACACACACACACACACACACACACGCACACACTTCTCCAAATAAAGAAAGGAAGGAAGGAAGGAAGGAAGGAAGGAAGGAAGGAAGGAAGGAAGGAAGGGGGGAAGGGAGGGATATGCTGTCATTATCTGGAAAGTTAAAGTGTGGGTCCTATGTCCCAGACTGTTACTTTTTACCTGTATAAAGGACATATCTGAGTTGTATGAGCTTTCTGCTCTGGATCTTCATGAGGATCAAAGAAACATCTTGTAGGCATGTTCTTTTAATTATTTTTTCTGAGAAGGATCTCATATACAGCCCAACTGGCAATATGGTAATACGTACCTGAAGATGACCTTCAATTTCTGATCCCCTGCCTCAACCGCCTATGCTCTATTCTACCAACTGGGCTACAATCTCACAGCCCCTTCCTTAGTGCTAGGACCACAAGCGCGCCTTGCATCATTCCAGCCTTGAACACTGCTGTCTACCCAGCAGACGGGATGGTATATTACCGTGATGGTGAGGAAGCTGAAGGAAAAGCTGGCCAGGAAAACAGTAACGCCATAGAGATAGAGTGTGCTGCACACAGACGTGTTGGTGGAAGGCTCAATTGTAGCTGATGGTGGTGCGTGCATTAGGATACACCTGGGAAGAGAACCAATGTACAGGACAGCGCTACAAGACAGGAGACAGCCGGGTGGTGGTGGAGCACACCTTTAATCCCGGCACTTGGGAGGCAGAGGCAGGCGGATCTCTGAGTATGAGGCCAGCCTGGTCTACAGAGTGAGTTCCAGGACACCCAGGGCTACACAGAGAAACCCTGTCTCGAAAAAGAAAAAAAAAAAAGACAGGAGAAACGCAACAAAAAGTGAACCTCACTGCTGTGATAAACACCACAACCATAAGCAATCTGGGGAGGGGAGGGTTTATTTGGCTTACACTTCCACATCTTAATCCACTACTGAATGAGGCCCCAAATGTCAATCACTAATGAAGACAATACCCTAAGGGCTTGCCTGCAGCCCTGTTTTATGGAGGCATTTTCTCAGCTGATGCTCCTTCCTCCAGCAACTGTCAGATTAATATAAAACTAGCCAGCACAGTGAGTAACTATGCTTCTCATGTTCCTGCCTCTTGCCTGTTGTTGAGGGCTGTTCCTTTTAACATATTTGTAGCCATTTTGTATTCAGTCTCCAATTTGCTCATAAAGAGAAATTAAGTTCAGTCTCTCAGACTCCACTTCTCAGAAGCAATTATCCATAGCTGACACTGGGGAATGCTACTAATAAGCCTAAAAGTTATGGCTGAATCACCTGTATCCTGTTATCTCAATGTCTAAAATTCCCTGTTCACCACCTCTCCACCCCACTCTGTACCCCAGTCAGGACCAATCAGCTTAAAGGTTAGCTGATAATACATTGTCTAATTAGCCAAAAATGTTGTATCACTTCACCGTTTGCCTTTGAACTTTTGAACCTGTTTTTTCCTATAAACAGCCTGCCCTGAGGACAGACTGGTGCCACAGTTAGGTTTTTCCTTCCTATGGTCCGAGACACTCAGTATAACGGTGCATTCAATAAACTCTTCTTGCTTAAGTGAGATTGGAGTATGTATGGTTTATGTGGTGATTCCCAGACCCCAGTACCTGCACCTATAACATCGTGCTCCTTCCCACAGATGAGCTATCTTGAAGTCATGTTTTATCGTATGTTTCCTCGTGTCTCTTCAGCATGACTGCATCTCAAATGTCTATAACTCATTTCCAAAACAAGCAGCTTTAGATAGGTGATGTGGAGGCGCACGCCTTTAACCCTAGCACTTGGGAGGCAGGGCAAGTGGAACTCTAGTTTGAGGCCAGACTGATCTACAGAGTGAATTCTAGGATAGTTAGGGCTGCACAAAGAAACCCTGTCAAGAAAACAAGTGAAGAAAAAACAAGTTTTTGTTTTTATTTTTGTTTTTGAGACATGGTCTGATGTAGACCAGGCTTGCTTTAAACTAAGTAGTTCAGGATGATCTTGAGCTTCTGACCTTCTGTTGCTGTCCCCTATGTGCTAAGGTTAAAGGTGTGTACCACCACACACATTCTTTGCAATGCTGGGATCCAACCCAAGTCTTTGTGCCAGCAACCATTCTACAGCTGACAAACAGACTCTTTGGCTACAATGTGTGTAGAACCCACCCACTTCACTCTGTTATAGAAAAGAACCAATGAAAACCAGAGAGGTGGTCCTTCCTTACCTGTGGCTCTGGCTGAAGTTGTGGAAACATTCATTGACGTTGCCCAAAACGAACACAGGTGTCATCAATAGCAGCAGCAGCACGCTGGGAGGAGAACACTTACTGTGCAATCATCCAGAAATGTCCATGCCCTTCCCGCAACCATGTTACTTCACCAGCCCCCAACATACGTGAAGAAAAACACTGAATACTATAGCCATCCTCATTTTCTATTCCCTTGGAGAACTAAGGTGGGAAATTGATTTTATATAGAAGATCTTGAGTCTCTTTGGAATTATAGTCAGATAAAAATCTAAAGGACCTCAAGGTGGCCTGTGGAGTTGGCACACTCAGTAAGAGTTGCTAGCTATACAAACATGAACACCTGAGTTTGACCCCCATGAAAAAGCCATGAAAAAGCAGGGCATAGTTGTCTACCTGTGCCCCTGGGGCTGGGGCAGACTGGTCCTCAAAACTCACTGGCTAGGTAGTTTAGCCAGCTTGTACACTCCTGCTTCAGTAAGAGATACTATCTCAACAACCATGGTGCAGGGTGAGAGCCTCAGCACCTGTGGCTTCCACGTGTACACACTCCTCACGCACACGTGATGAACATATGCCAATGCACACACAGTCTAAATAGGAAGAAAGAAAACAAACTGAAGTCTAATCGAGTCTGGGTGTAGTAATGCAGGCCTGTAATCTTAGCATGAAAGAAGCTGAGTCAGGAGGATTTGTGTCTGAGGCCAGTCTGAACTACATACATAGCATGCCTTTGTATCAAAAAAGCAAAACAAAGCAAAATTTACTTGAAAAAAAATCTAAGTGAAAGAAAACTATGGAACAAGTGTGCATGGTCTCCTTCACACTGCAATGGCCAGGTTAACCCCTTCCTTACCTGTCCATGTGCTTACTCTTTAAGCGGACAGCTGTTTATCCACTTAAATACAGCCATTGATCGTCCTAGAAGGGATTTGGGGCAAAAGTTATAAAGTCTAGAGCTGATGACCACTACTTTGTGTGAAATCTAGATCCTTTCTGGAGTAGAATTCCCATACAGGGTCATAGCTTGAGATTTGGGTTCACAGGGTTAAGTGTTTGCCACATAAGCTTGGGGATGGAAGGGGGGTACAGTGGGATACATGGGTTACCCAGAACCCACACAAAAAGCTGGTGGATATTAAGGCCTGCCTGTTATCCTGACATAGGAGACAGATATGAATACCCAGAATAAGGCACCTGGTCCAGCTAGCGGGTATGCTGAGCCCTGAGTTCAGTGACAGACTGTCTCAATGTATAAGCTAGAGATTGAGGAAGGAAAGACTGACACCAAGCTCGGCCATCACATGCTTGCATGCATGCACACATGCATGCACCCACATGCACAGACACCTATACACACACAGAAATGCAAAGGAGAGGTTTGTTCAAAGCCACACAGGATTGTTATAGAGTTGGAGCTAATATCCAACCAGGGAAGGAAGGAAGGACTCCTTGCTCACATGTTTGTTGCTTCCTATCTGTAAAGATACAGGAGTGATGATGGTGTTGAAGAGTGACAGGCCATTTGTTCCCTTGCTACCTTACTAGGAAGAACAACAATCTTACCTTGACAAAAGGAACATTATGTGACCACCTTGACAAGCATAGTCTGTCACCTGTGAAAAGAGCAGGTTGAAAAATGCTAGGACCAGTGCCAAAGTCCTTACAGCAACGGCCACCTGTCAGTGTTTGCTGCTCCTGTGACACGTTGTTTATAGAGTCAGTCAGTCCCCTTGGTACTGGAGATAACAGTGTTTTATCTATATTACTATGCTAAAAACAAACAAATAAACAAACAACAACAAAATCCACATAGAAGCATCCGGAATTTAATCAAGGATTTGAGTGCTGAATCAAATTCTCTAAGGAATAAAGGCATTCATAAAATCATAGGGTTGCTTTTTTTCTTTTAGATCCAGAAAGGTCTAGATGAATGAAGCTATGCATAAGTCAACCTGTATAAAGTATTAACAGGCCAATGTTGGCATGACAGAGTCGAAGGGGCCCTTGAAAAGAAACCAGTGCATTCTAGAGGTCAGACCATTTAAAATCTGGAGACCTAACAGCTCCGTAGCTAAAGCACCTGCTGAGCAAGCACAGGAACCTGAGTTCAGAGCCCTAGCACCAGGCAAGAAACCAAGCACAACAGCACGTGCCAGAAGCCCTAGGACTGTGGAGAGGGTGGGGAAGGCAGACAGATCCTGGAGGCTGCATGGGCTAATCAAACTAGCACAGATGGCAAGATCCAGGTTCAGTGGGAAACAATGCCTCAAAAACAAAGAGCAAAAAAGGTGGCGAGCAATGGAGGAGAGCAGCAGGGGCTGACCTCTGAGTTCTACACACTGAAGCACAGGCACACAGCTACACATACACTACATACACAACTTGTTTGATTACATAGTGTGGTGGAATATGTACTTGTTATAGAAAAGTCATGGGTTCAAATCCACAGCACTCCCAAACAGACAGACAGACAGACAGACAGACTAATGAATACTTCCCACTTGCATCAGATATTGTACGATTTACAGCAGCATGATTGCTATGAACTCAGTATTATAATGGAAATATTCGTGGCCTTATGGGGTTTGCAGTTCACACTCGAGCAGCTGAGCCCCACGATTCTGAGTGAGTGAAACCCTCGGAGCTGCTGTGCTTTTAGGCATTCATCTACCCAAAGCTAAGGAAGAAGATGCCCAGCTCTTCCCAGTGCTTTCATTTCAAGGACTCCAGTGTTATACAGACAAGCATGGGAAAGTGTAGGAAGCCACAGGTCCTTCCTAAGTGCAGAGACCACGCAAGCTTATGTTACAGAATGCCTGTGCCTGTGGACCACTAGAGTAAGCAAAAGAAAATGGCAGCAGAGTGGAGTTGTACAGGCAACCACTACCTACACAGGGGTTACGTGGAAACTAACACTGAATCAAATGAAAAGGTCAACAGCTGCCAGGCATGATGGCACATGCCTCCAAGTCCAGAGTGTGTAAGGCAGAGGCAGTGGGATTGCTGCAAGTTAGAGGCCAGTCTAAACTTCACAGCAAGTTCTAGTCCTGCCCCAGCCAGGGCTCTGGAGAGAGCCTCTGCCTCAAAGCCTGAGGCCCCCACTCAGTTCCTTCATTTTGCAGCCACATTACAAGTGCTCAGTGGTCTCTCAGGGTGGCTGCTGGGAGAAGATTGCTTATCACCAGTTGTGATGTCACACTCCTGCAGGGCTAGCTAGCACTTGGAGGGCAGAGGCAGCAGATCTCTTCAAGGCCAGCCTAGTGTACACAGAGAGTTCCAGGCCAACAATTGGTACTTAGTAAAATCCTGCCTCAAAGAAGTGTTTTTGTTATTCTGAGAAGTGCTGTTGACTGGCTGTGTATAGACTGTAATACCTTGTTTAGGATGTCACTTACGGGCACTTTTCATGTTAAATTTCAGTGATTTTTCACTTGTCCTTTGAGAGAGAAGGGGGGACCAGAGGAAAAAAAAGAGAGAACATTCTCTGTTCCGAACCCTCCTTAACAGTGCACACCTTCTACTGACTTTCTTCAGCCGTTTAGATGACATTTCCACAGAGCACAGCATGTTGGTGCTGCAAGGGGGCACCAGGGATTACACAGATTAATACTTAACTTTAGGATAAAAACTTGAGGCCTAGTTGCCTTTTCTATAGAGTGAGTTGTGAGCCAGCAGAGGCTACATAGCAAAAGCCTTTCAAACAAGCACAATAAGAGAAGATGTACCCACGGCTGTACAACAGATGAGTGACCCAGAACAATGCACATATACTGTTTGCTGGAAGCAGACTATGAAGAGGTTGAAGCGGCCCTCTAAAGCTAGCATTCACCGTGTGCGTGAACTCAACCTTTGGAAGTTAGCTAATACACAATGATGTCTGTTGTCTGGTCACCTGCAGACACTGACTTCACCCCTTGTAAACTCTGCCTCCCTCCTCATGATGCTTTCTGTGCTGTTCAACAAAAACAGAGCAAAGTCCCGTGTGCAGAACAGACAGACACAGAAACAGATTCAGACTCACTACAACAGACAGACTGAGGACAGAGACAGAGGGAACGTGCAGTAGAGATTTCGGATCTGGACTCGGTCTTTTTAAATGACTGCAGAGGGAGCTGTGTTCACCTGCATTACTGATGACTCTGAGCTCGTCGCTGACGCTCTTACGCCTCACGTCCTCCCACTTACTCACACAGCAAATACTCACTGCGCTGTCTCATGTGTCCACTGGGGGACTTTCCTATGGAATATGCGGGTTCTAGGGAAAGGGGACAGTGGCTTTCTAGATTGTTTATATCATGCTCTTAACAAAAGGTTACTTTTAAAAAACCCATAAAATAATGAATTTTGCAGATACGAGATTAGAATATTTAGTAAGGTGTTTCGTGTTAAAATGGGCCTGTGTTTTGTTGGTAAGGGTGCCGAGCATTCTAGGAGCCCTGGGGCCAACTCCAGCCTCACACAGCACGTTGAGTAGTACATTTACAGTCCTAGTACTTGGGAAGTAGAAGCAAGAAAATTAGAAGTTCAAGGTTATCCTTGACTATCTAGTGAATCTGGGATCAGCCTGGGCTACATGGAACCCTGTCTCACAAACAAAATAACAAAAAGATTAAATTAAGTGTGGTGGCATACCCTTTTAACCCCAACACTCAGGAGGCAGAGGCAACACTCAGGAGGTCTCTGTGAGTTTGAGGTTGAGGCCCAACTGCTATACATAGTGCATGCCAGGGAAGTCAGATCTACACAGAGAGACTCTGTCTCCAAAAACAAAACAAACAAACAAAAGATTTAAAAATGTAAAGATATTTGAAAATAAAAACTGAGAAATGACAAGTATGTCACCTGTCATCAGTGATATTCTCAAAGCACCAGAGATAAGAGGCTGCGGTTTGGAGTCCACATATGTAATCCCAGCACCTGGGAGGTACAGCCAGAAGGGTCAGAAGCCGAAAACCAGTTTCCGCCCATTCAAAGCCAGCCACACCTACATGAGATCTATCTCAAAAAAACTAGAGTAAAAAAGTAAGAAACTCAATGTACTACATGATGAATATAAAGAATGAAGTAGAAAGAATGAACTGTTTATACATTGAAAATGCATGACCTTTAAAAACACTGTGCTGCTCTTTGTTCTCTGGGCCCCCTCTCTGGTCCTCCCTCTTCTTCTCCCTCTCCCCCACGGGTCCCCATGGCCCTGTCCATTCTGCTGGTCATGTTTAAACCACTGCTTTCTCTCTCTTTTCTAGACTCTTTCAGAAGCCTCTGGTTGTACTCTCCCTCATATCTACAGTGAAAACTTTCCTCTCTATCATAAAAAAGTAACTGAAAGCACCATGCTAAATGAAAGCAAACACACGAATGCATGCACATAGGCACACACATACAGCATTATTGTTACATGAAGTATCCAGAAGCATGTCTGTAGAACGGGACATACATTTGACTGCCTGGAGCAGAGGGTGTAAAGGACTTAATGGTATGTATCTTGAAAGATTTCACTGGAGAAGGAACTATCCTGAAATGGGTATGATGACTGTACGACTTGACAAGTTTACCAAGAGGTGGATCACCACACTCACAACAGACAGGCTGTGTGCTGTGTAAAACACACACACACACACACACACACACACACACACACACACGGAAGAACCCAGACACTGTGGGCTTGGTCTTCTCTCTTCCTGTAATACTGGATGCTTCCTGGCTTCTGACTATCATAGAAGCGTCCCTCCACCTCTCTGTAAACCAACAGCTTCACTCACACACATACTGAAAAGACACAGCAGAGCAGAACACGCTCCTTTGATACGTCACACTGAAGCCTGAGTCAGCAGATACAGCACCTGCCCTGCCCTTCCTCCTGACCTGTATTAGTGACACTGAAGGGCGACATGGAGCTCAAGATTTCCCTTCCGGAATCAAACAGGAATGGCAATAGTGTCAACAGTGTTCCTACATTAAAACCTTTTGTGGGAGTCAGGTGTGGTGGCACATGTTTTTATTCCCAGCATTTGGGAGGCAGAAGCAGGCAGATCTCTGTGAGTTCCAGGACAGCCTGGTCTACAGATTCTGTGAGTTCCAGGACAGCCTGGTCTACAGATTCTGTGAGTTCCAGGACAGCCTGGTCTACAGATTCTGTGAGTTCCAGGACAGCCTGGTCTACAGATTCAGTTCCAGGACAGCCAGAGCTACACAGAGAAACTCTGTATTGAAAAACAAAATGAAACAACAAGAACACCGTTTGTGTGGCAAGGGCGGAGGAGGAGGTGATGCTGACAGGAGCGATGCTGACAGACGGACACCGTGAAAACAGACTGCTGTCAGCTTCCACACTCACTCATCGGTCACTGGGCACCTGGGACGGGCTCCCCCTGGCTCCAGGCTCCACATGATGTTTTACCTGTGCAGCTGAGCTCCGCTCGCACTGGCCGTGCTTCCTCCTCAGCTCTGTGTACAGACACCAGATGTAACTGACGGTGTAGAGGAGTGACGCAAGGTAGAAAATCTAGGTGAGAGTCACATGGCCACCGTCAGTGTCCCATTCCAGCTTCCTTAATCCGTTATTCTCAGGTGAGACCCACACCCCACACCACTCAGCTTCACCTCACCTCTCGGAAACACAGACACCACCCCCTCCCACCAAACCACTCCACTTTCAGAAATCCGTTTCTACTGTGACTTTCAATTTGTTTATTGTTGTTGTTTTCATGTGTTGCAACTCACTGCTAAGGCGTAACCTACCATGTCTAGACAGCTTTCCTGAACTTGGTGCAAAATGGTGGATTCCCTTCTCTTAGCGGGGCTTCCCCTACTCCGTCCTATCTGGCGAGCCTGACCCCAATCTTCTACCTGAGGAATGTCACATAATCCTTGGCAAAATTACAGGTTCAACTTCCTCGAATATCTCTCCATGCAAATGAGGTATCCCTAGAACCTTAAGCCTCAGCTAATGAAAGGTCACCCTAAGAAGAACCCCTTCCCACTAAGGTAAGTACGTGTATGTGTATGTGTATGTGTATGTGTATGTGTATGTGTATGTGTATGTGTATGTGTATGTGTATGTGTATATGTATATGTAGCCCTTGATTCACTCCAAATAAAGTACATGTGCACAAGGTGTTTCATTGTCTATCATCTTAGAGGGCTGCTTTCTAGAAGAGCTGTAACCCTGAAATCCTCAGAGGCTGTCCTAGTGCTCACTCTATAGACCAGGCTAGCCTCTTGATTTCACACAGATCCTCCTGCCTCACCTCCCATGCTTATGCACCACTCCAAGTTTATGGAGTACTAGGATTGAAGTCAGGGCTTCCATGCAAAGCAAGTACTCTGTCAAGTGATATATCCCCAGCAGTGATTTTAAAAGATTTAAAAAAAAAAATCAGGTACTAGAAGGATGACTCAGCAGGGAAAGGCAGTTACTGCAACCCTGGTATCAGAGCTGAGATTTGGACTTGAAAAGTGGGAGAACTGATTTTTGCAAGTTGTCCTCTTACCTACACACACACACACACACACACACACACACACACACACCATGGCACATAAGCTTAGATAGACAAAATAAGCAACTAAATGTAATGACATTTAGAATGGGAACTGGAGCGCTGACTCAGTTAAAATGCTACTTGTGCAGGGGACTTCAGTTACCATCACCCATATCAGGCATCTCAGAATTGTCTGTAACTCCAGCTCTAGGTGCTCTGATACCCTCTTCTGGACTGTATAGGCAGCCTCACAAATGTGTGTGTCTGCACACACACGCTTACACACACACAAAAAATGTCTTTAAAAAGAACAAGAGAGCTAATTCATAGGATAGCAGAGAATCCACATGACACCATGTAGCGGGTGAATTCATGTTACAGTTAAAGTACAGGATTCACACTTCAGCCTCATAGAAGCAAAACCTGGAGCTGAGGAGACAGCTTACTGGATAAAATGTTCACCACACCAATATGAGAGAAGTTCAGATTCCCAGCACCTACAGAGCTACAGAGGCTGGCGAGATGCCTCATCAGGTAGACCCAACTGGTACCAAGCTTGGCAATCCTTGGGACTTACATCCCCCCCCCACACACACACGATGTGCTCCCATTAGAGAACAAAGACAGAAGAATCCCAGGATCTCACTATCCAGTGAGTGAGGTCTTGTCTCAATGAATAAGGCATAAAGTACAGAGGCGGACAGGACAGCCAAGGTCTTCCTCTGGCCTGCACATGCATGTGCGTGGGTGCATCATGTACACATGTATGTATCTGTGTGGGCACACACAGAGAGACAGACAGATAGACAGACATAATTAGCCTAAGTAACTCTTGGAAACAGTATCTTACCCATATAGAAAAAGAAATCTGAAACAACACAGAAGGTCCATTACTAAGGATAGTGCCTATGGGCCAGAGTGTGGACTGAAATAGCGGTTGCCAGGGCGACAGGAAGCAAAGCATCTGACTGCCAGCGCACACTGAAGAGTGATGGGATGATCCACACAGGGTCTGAAGAGAATCACAGTGTCTAAATTAATTAGGGAGGTGTGCATTTTGGGGTCTACACTGCAGAGGAAAAGGTGAGTTGATGACACCAAAGGAAGGGATGAACATGGGGCTATATACTGAAGGTGGGTGAGGCCATTTTGGTGTTTCAAACCCATAGAAAATAAAGGTAAAAATGTACCCCCAAAAGAAAGTTAATAAGTTTAATATAATAGGTTATATTACGTTAACTTAATAGAACAGTGCATGCACACGCACTATCAACATGTATACTTGGGAAGCAGAGACAGGATGGTCCTGAGTTCAAGGTTATCCTAGGCTGTTACATAATTAATACACCTTCCCAGAGAGAAATCCCTAAACACACTTAGAGGATGATAAAGAAAAATCCCTTTAGTAATAGCACAGGACTGGCTTTGACTAATCCAGAGAAGAGGAGCAGCTTCAGACAGGAAACTACCGGAAGCTACCGGCCTATACACGCCTGAGGCTGATAATTCCACCTAAGCTGCTCTCTTCAAATCTCTTCCAGGTCCTGACCTCAGGTTACACTTTGAACAGCTTAAAAAAGGATGGCAGACTGTAAGACTGGCCTCTTAGGCAGACATGAGATTAAACAACAAAGACGATGCCAGCGTCACTTAAAAGACACCAGCACTGTTGTTCTTTGCAAACAGTCATTACCCAGGGTCATCCCAAGACTTACCGACAGCAGTGACCCCAAGCTGACACCTTGAGCTCCCTATTGGAGATAAATTCTTTGATATGGGGAGGGGCCTAATGGCTGGTTGTAAATCAGGGTTATCTCCTTTTGTTTTGGGATTGGTACCTAATCAGGTCAGTCTTGGTAAACAGACATTAACAGGCTTTCTCAGCAGCCCTGAATTTCAGCTCGAGTCGGTGTGGTTCAGTTCTCTCTAACAAGCAGTGGTTGTACACTCATCTCCAGGCATAGTGCAGGCAGGGATGCCTTAGCCAGACTCTACTCTGTGTGACTTAGTATTCCTAAGCAAAATTTTAGTGAATCCTTTATAGCATCAATTTTGTTACTTCTGGTTTCTCCTGCATGGCTATATAGTACAAATTCCAGGCCAGTTGGGCTACATGAATAAAACCCGATCTAAAAATTCCAAGAGAGTTAGAAGATGACTCAGTGGGTAAGGGCAGGTGATCTGCAAGCAGAGGACCTGATTTCAAATCCCAGGCACACACATGCTTGCACTGACACGTCACACACATGCACACTCACTCATGGACATACATCTAAAAGAGGGAAAATGACAGGAGGGGAAGGAAAGAACAGTAAGCCAGTAAGGTAGTTTAGGTCTGTAATCAGAGCACTTGAGAGGTTGAGGCTGAAGGACTGCTATGAGTGAAAAGAAACCTGCTTGGGATACAGACTGAGTTCTGTTCTAGCCCGTTAGTGTGAGATCCTATATTAAAAGCAGCAACAAAAAAACCCAATACGTAATTTCACTCAGAGACAGTAGAGGGAGCCAGAATACCATGAAACAGATTCCTGAATTGGACAGCTGTCAAACCTTCCTCTCCTTAGCCTGAAAGACGGAGTCAGAAGTGTGGATTATTATAGTCAGTGCTCACACCTTCAGTCTCAAAGAGAATCATCAAGTCTCCTGCTCTGCTTTGTCAAACCCACCACCTTTATTCTTCTGAATCCCACCAGACAAACACCTATTTAATTACGACCCCATGAGGAAGGCAGGAGAGCCTTTCACAACGATTACATTTGCACTTCAGGCCTTTCAGCAGAGTGCATGCTAACATCTCGTCCAGATTTTATAAGAGAAGTAAAGCTTTCTCTCTTTTTAAGATGTATTTATGTATTTAGTGTGCACTGGTAGATTGCTGCACGCATGTCTGTGAGGCGTCAGATCCCTGGAACTGGAGTTCCAGACAGAGGGGAGCTGCCATGTGGGGGCTGGGAATTGAACCTAGGTCCTTTGGAAGAGCAGCCAGGGCTCTAAACCACTGAACCATTTCTCCAGCTCAAAAGTAAAGACTTTAAAAGAGCTTCTGAAAGGCCCATCAAGCATCAGAAGCTACTTTTCTTCTACTATTAAATTAACAACTTACACTAAGGCCAGGAGAAATGAGCTGCCTGCCCACATCTTCCTCATACTTGGTAGAGTATATCCAAATGTCTAATTTCAGAGTCTTGACTTTCTGTGTGTTTTGTAGGGTCTGTTTTTGAGGCAGGGTCTCTTGTCTTCTAGGCAGGCCTTGAGTTCACAATGCAGGTAAGCACAACCTGGAACTCCTCCTGTCTCTACTTCCAAAGTGCTGGTTACAGACATGAACCACCAGCCCTGGCTCACAATCTTGGTATTCAATGAAGTGTCATGTGGTGGCACATACCTGTAATTCTAGTGTTTGGAAGCTGAGGCAGGAGGATTGCCACTTGTTTGAGGCTGGCTTGAGTTTCACAGTAATCTCCACATCAGAGAGGCTATGGGATCCTGTCAAATAAACAAATCTTGATATTCTTGATAGCTTATTTATAAGATGAATGCAAGTAAAATTAATTCTTAGTAAAACTAATTAATTAATTAAAATAAAATTAATAATTAATTAACAAAATTAATTAACTAAAATTAATTAATCTATTAAAATTAATTGTCCTTGCCTTTATCAAGGTTCCCATGGAAAAGTCTTCAATAAGTATTTACTTACTCTAATCTTTTTGTCGATTATGTCAAAATCTCAATATTTATAATGCCTTCAATGTTGAAAAGCTTTTATACTGCTTTTATATTTAAATTAATTGGAGGACTCCTCTCACAAAACAATGATAATATTACTAACCCCTCACAACAGAGGAGACACCAGGAGTGCTGACCACACAGACTTGTCTCCTCAACAGAGGTGATCTACTGTTTACCCCAGACTCAGCCTCCTCACACCTTCAACCTGAGTGTTGTTTCTTGCTCAATAAAACCCATCCTTATGGGAGATGTCACTTGTATGGCCTGGGTAACTTCTATGATGTCATCTGCGTGGCAAAGGCCACTTCCGGACTCCAGCCATTCTCTCTAGACTCTTATCTGTCTTGATCACTGTTTCTGAGCCAAAGAACTCATCTTTGAAATATGTCAAGGCTTTGCTGCAGCCTCAGGACTGAGTAAATTATCATTAGGAAACTCTTTTCCAGAGTTGTGCAGTGCTTAAATATGGCTAAAGTAAGCCAGCCAGGGTCAGACGCTGGAAGTCTGAGCCAGCACTGGCCACTAAGTCTTGCTGAATCTGACTCCCTTCTTGACTCTCAAGGACTCTCCAAGGCTTTTAGAATGTAGTTTCTCATTTGCTGTTTTACATATTAAATGTATTAAATGAGAAAACAAACAAACAAAAACAGACTGCCATAGGTTCTCTCAGTGCGAGTTTGCTGGCAGCCAACCTGTTTAACTGTGAGTAGCTGACGGAGTTTTGAGAACCAAAGCACAGATGATCAATACGGTGCCCACTGGGAGCACAGAGCTTCTCTGAGGCTCTCCAGTTGCTAATGACAAGGTGTTCTGCTTGCAAGGGAGGTCTGACTGAGGCAGAGTGGGTCAGAACATTTAGCTGGTCTCTCTTTTTGCTAAGCAGGCTGATCATCAGACTAAGAATCAGCTCTGTTGAGCCAGGACTGCCCTGTGGAATCTTTAATTTCTGTGGCCTTGGTGAAGGTGAAGGAATCACACCTGTGAAATCTTTTCAGTAACAATTTAACTTTACAAGAAAAAAAAAGTAGATAGCTAATAAGTATAAAAGATGGAGCTGGGCAGTGGTGGCGCACGCCTTTAATCTCAGCACTTGGGAGGCAGAGGCAGGTGGATTTCTGAGTTCGAGGACAGCCTGGTCTACAGAGTGAGTTCCAGGACAGCCAGGGCTACACAGAAACCCTGCCTTGAAAAAAAAACAAAAACAAACAAAAAAAAGTTTGCCACTACCTACCGCCCAGCATTGTTGCCTTTTTTTTTTTAAATTGGATATCTTCTTTATGCTGTTTTGTTTTTTGAGACAAGGTCTGTGCATATAACTCTGGCTGTCCTGGAACCTACTAAATAGAGCAAGCTGGCCTTGAAGTCAGAGATCTGCCTGACTCTGTCTCCCAAGTATCACATACTATACCATCCAGTCTGAAAGGATGGAATTTCTGTCAGGACTATGTAGTTGCAAACTCTACACTTCACCTGCAAGCCACAGACATCACGCCATGTGGTGTGCACCCCAACTGACATCTCACATCAGCTCACTAGCTCTTTTAAGAAATAGAAACCCAACACTTCAGGACACCCATTTGTGATACTGTCATTGTCCTCTGCCCTTGTTTCTACACAGCAGCTGTTCCTGCCACACAGAAGTCTGAGCAGAGCACTGCAGTGCTTGCCGTCTTTGGGAAAAGACAGAATTTGTTCCTGAGCCTAGGCTTGCCCTAGGGGACAATTTAAAACAAGCAAACAGCTGTCTACTGAGGACTCTGCAGCATCTCCGACTATGGAATGGAGGAGGTGTGCAGGAAGAGAAGAGGCATCACTCACACTTGACTCTGGCACCAGAAGACCTGTTCACTGATTGGGTGGCTGAGTTGACAAAAAAATAACCCTTAGAAAACCCCAAATATCCTATTAATTAAAGCAAGAATTCCTTCTGATAGCTGGGTTCTCTGAGCACTTGGCTTCCTAGTAAGACCTGGTACAGAGGACTAGGTCTGAGTCAATGTTGACTTCCTGTGTTCCAGCTCAGTTAAGTGGACCCAGGCACTCAAGCTGGACCAAGCCTGTCTTTACAGCTAAGGGCTCCATGAACAACTCCCATTATCTCAGTCAGATTTGGGCACAGCGGTCACATGACTGAGCTACACAAACAAAAGGGGAACCAACCCAATTTCTACCCCATGTCCATCTATCCATCTGGCAGAGAAGGAAAAAAATCAAAACCCTGCTGCTTCCTGAAGCTTAAGCAGCCTATCCCAAGAGCGCCATCCACAGGCTGGTGACAGAGCTGCTCTAAGAGAACACGGAGAGCATCCACACTGATGATATGATAATGATGCTAAATTTACTATTTAGAGGGTTTTTTTGTTGTTGGCTTTTTTTTTTTTTTTTGGTTTTTCGAGACAGGGTTTCTCTGTATAGCCCTGGCTGTCCTGGAACTCACTCTGTAGACCAGGCTGTCCTCGAACTCAGAAATCCACCTGCCTCTGCCTCCCAAGTGCTGAGATTAAAGGCGTGCGCCACCACCGCCCGGCTATTTAGAGGTTTTTTATGTGTATGTGTGTTTTGCCTTCAGTCTGTGTCCACCATACTTGTGCTTGGTCCCTGGGAAGCCAGAAGCCTTGGAACTGGACTCACAGGTTGGGCACCTCAGTGTGTACTGAGAAAGGAACCAGGCCCCTGTGAGGATGAGTGTTCTCATCCACTGAGCCATCTTCCCGGCACCAAGAACCTATCTTTGAGATCATATTTTACCAAGTTTCTTTTTCCTCAAGTGATATTTATTTCACAGACTTAAGTGATATTTGTTTTAATTTTTTTTCTTTCTGTGTAATAGCCTGGACTGTCCTGCAGACCAGGCTGTCCTTGAAGTCATAGAGATCCACCTGCCTCTGCCTTCTCAGTGCTGACATTAAAAGCATGTGTCACCACACCCAGTTTTTTTTAAAGGTTTTTAATCACCAACACACAAAGTTGGGGACATTATATCACCTCCCAGGGAATTTATTTGCATTCGTCTGTAAAATTATGAAACCTAGACACCACTGAGCTCCTTGGCATGTCACATAGATGTCCTAGACAAGCTGCCGTTTCCTACAAGTGGAATGAATGCACTTCTAAGGGAGGCTGGGGACCAATGCGACACAATAGCATCAAGGCAGGAGACAGAAGCTCATGCTGAACTGATGTCATAACACTTGAATTTCTAGTCTGGCAAGCTCAAACGAGAACTATTAACTACGACCCTCCACTGAGTTTTTTTTAAGGTTGAAAGTATGAGCTAGTAAGGAGATTTAGTGTGTGTGGGTGAGGAGTGTCACACCCTTAATCCCAGCACTAGGGAGGCAGAGGCAGGCGGATCTCTGAGAGGCCAGCCTGGTCTACAGAGTGAGTTCCAGGACAGCCAGGGATACACAGAGAAACCCTGTCTCGAAAAACAAACAAACAAACAAAAATAACAAAAATGAGATTTGACATAATAATGAACAAGTGGCAGAAAGACAGACGTAAACGTAGCTATTCACTCAGACTGAATGCAAGGCAGTGGCCAGGCTCAGACCATGCAGAGGACGACACGCAGGAGAAAGTAAGTATTCTCCCAGAGGGAGTGAGGTGCTAACAGCCAAACATGGAAGTGTAGGGCTTGAGGGCTCTGATGTCCTTGTGGAGAAGCTCCAGAAAGGGCAAAGTACCCCAACTCCCAAAACTGCAACATGGCCCAGGAGTAGTTTTTCTTTCCTTCCTTCCTTCCTTTTTTTTTTCTTTTGATTATTTTATTTTGGAGACAAGGATTTTCTATGGAGCCCTCAATGTTCTAGAATTCACTAGATAGACTAGGTTGGTCTTTAACTCACAGCAATCCTCCTGGCTCTGCCTCCCGAGTGTTGGAACTAAAAGTATGTGCCACCACATACTTTTGCAGTAGCTATTTTTAAAATTAAAAATGATAAAAAAGCCTATTGTATCAAAGTATAACAATAATCAATGTGTTTGCATTTCCATTCTCTGATCTGAATTGTACTCAAATCTGAATGGTAAAGTGTTGGCTGAGTCTAGGGGTGCTTACCTCTCCAGCAGTCTGCAGGTTATAGCAGATGCTGTCCTTGTGGGTTGCTGCAGTTCCATATATGAGTGCCTTTATGAGCCAGCAAATTCCCAGAAGCAAGTCAGAGAAGCTCAGATACAAGAGTGGCTTTATCTGTCAAAAGCCACAAAATCTTCATTTAGTTTAATGATGTCCTGCCTATGGACAGGGGAAAACAATCCCATCTATAGCCGGGCGGTGGTGGCGCACGCCTTTAATCCCAGCACTTGGGAGGCAGAGGCAGGTGGATTTCTGAGTTTGAGAGTTCAAGGCTAGCCTGATCTACAGAGTGAGTTCCAGGACAGCCAGAGCTACACAGAGAAACCCTGTCTCAAAAAAACAAAACAAAACAAAACAAAACAAAAACAAAACAAACAAAAAAAAAAACAACCCCATCTATAAAATGAGGGCCGGTGCTTTCCTGGCACTTACTTTGAAGGCTAAGTCACAACAGTTCAAACTCAACAGAAAGAGATGGCTCACCTCTGCAGCCTTCTGTGGGTTCTGGAACACGATGTAGGTGATAAGTGAGCTGGAACCTATAACACTGAGAGAGACACAGACCACGACCATTACATCACAGTGGTGGTAAGACTCTGACTTTTACTGTTTATTGACATAGTTGATATAAAATATAGCACACATGTTTTTTACCGTAGAGTGCTTTGTAGATTTGTATGCCATCTTGTTTCGGGCCATGCTCATCTTTCCCACTACCATCCCAATTCTCTCAGGATGTAGCCTTGGATGGCCTGGAACCCTCTGTGCAGACCAGGCTGGCCTCAAACTCAGTGGCCGTCCTAACTCAGTCCCAAAGTGCTGGGATTAGATGTCAGCTGCCATGGTGTCTTACAGCACTCACCACACAGTGCTGAGAGTGCTGAGGTGAATGCCTGATCAGGCTGCCTGAGCAAGTGCTCACTTCAGATGACTGCTCTCCTTCCCTCCCTCTGGTTCTTGTTTTTACCTTTTACCAGGTGTAGGTGTGGTGAGCAGTCAGAAGAGGGAGGCTGCTGTCAGCCTCCATCAGCTCCACTGAGTTTCTGAGACATGCTCCCTCTGTGAACCTGAAGGTCTCAGATTTACAGATTGGCTAGCCTCTACCCCCTATCCTGCTTCCCGAAGCTGAGCTAACAGGTTGGGAACAGCACACATGGCTTGTCATGTGGCTCCTGGGGATCCCAACTTGGACACTCATGCTCAGGAAACAAGCACTTTATCCACTAAACCATCTTCCCAGGCCCCCGAGTTTACGAGTCAGGAATTATCAACATAGGAAATAATTTCTAACTAAAAAGTAAAACGCAATCTTCAGGAGTAGGAATATGTGGAGAGCTCTCCAGTCTGGTCATGAGATTTCATCAGTCATATGATATGAGACTTAAAAAAACATACCTCAGAGTAGCCACAGCAAACTGTATCCACTGTATTGCAGGAAAAAGCTAGAGAGAGAGAGAGAGAGAGAGAGAGAGAGAGAGAGAGAGAGAGAGAGA